ATTGTTTCCCTCGACTTCAAGTTGTAGTAAACACCAGTGAAAAACAAAACCACATAGAATCTGATCTTTTGCTATCAAAATAAGATTTAAAAAAGCAAAGAAAAAGAATAAGTCTTGCAAGAATATGCTCAGATGATGGAAAAAACTCTGAATAAGCTCAAAATCAGCTTGCTTTTGACTATTGATTAGAGTGAATTTATTCTGAAATATTTTTGAAATTGTTGTGAATATAAATAACTTGATTCATTTAAAAGATAACAAAATTAAAAGTAACATGCTTTGATTTTTTTTGGAAAATTTCAGAAAAGTTTCCCTAAATCAATCCTATGTCTGAATGTTGGGCCTGATTTTTTTGGTATTCAAATCTCCCTGAGTCAAATTGTCCATTTGTTGGGGTGTCCGCATATTGGGGTCTCACTCTATTTTGAACAGAGTTTCAACAAATCCCCAATTAATTTTAATGGCTTAGCCCCATCATTTGGCAACAATTCAGCACTGTTCAACACACTCTCCACCAATTTCAATGCAGTTTTTTTCATGCAATAAAGCCAAAAATAAAAACAGTGCCAAAATCAAGTTTTGTTAGTTAATTATGCACCCTGTGACTTCTGGCTGTTCCCAACAACAGTGAAGAAGAACCTTAAAGGGATTGATTTTGAGAAGAGCAGCTTAATCAACTAATTGAACTCAATTTTTGGCACTCTTTTGATTGTTGGATTTATTATACTGAGAAAAATGCATTGAAATTGGCTTCAATTTGACCTCCTGCAATTCAACCATCCCACACTTTTGACAGTCAAATTTGCAGGGAGGTTGACTTGCAATTTGACCCTTGCCCCGCAATTCAACCTGCTTTGGCCATTTTCTTTTTCTTTTTTGAACTTATATTTTTTAATTTCGCAGAGTGTCTCACAATTCAACCAATTTGCAATTTGACCCTAATTATGGCAATGGATTAGGGTTGAATCCATGCCTAATTTTTCTTTCTTTTGACAACAAAAGTCCTGTTTATAATACAGTAAATGGAACCTTCAACTGGTTAAAAAATTCAGGGACATTTAAAAAAAAAGCATTTGTGAAAAATAAGCCACCTTTTCATGACTTTTCCGCATTTGTTTTATTTTGACAACAAAGTACAACAGAATCTCTTCACAACAAATCCATGAAGGCCTGTACATTGTTTTAAAGTTTATACAAAATACAGGCCTTCATGCTTCAAAGGGGGTCAACTATTTTTATATACTGTACCATAAAGTCAACCCTCAATTTAGTGCTCATCAAATTAGTGCCACCCTTTCATAATGCCACAAATTTCCCTGCAAAAAATTCTTCCTCTATTGTGTTCTTAAGGGAAACCACAATTTGGTACCAATTCACTTAGTGCCACAAAACTCTTCCTGTCCTTGCTGAAAGAAATGGGCCAAAATCAGATAAATTAAGGCATATTCCTAGGGATATTATCAGGCTATTACTCAGAATCATATGGTCATGCTCAGGATAAGTAAAAAATTATACAGTATTTCCAAATTTAAATGCAATTGGGTTGCTTAATTTGAATGTCCTCCACAGCAAATAACATCTCAAAAACAGGAAGTACCTCTACAACAAATTGTAAAATCACCAAAGATGATGTTGGAATTATTTGCTTTTACTGAAAGGTTGATACAAAACTGCAAGAAACAGTTCCACTCTTCATACTGGGCCCAGTATGTGAAAAAAATCTGATGTATTCTGTACTACAGTATAAAATAAATTTGAATGCAATAAAAGAATAGTTCATATGACCCTTGAACTATTTTGCCTGGCTCTGTCTTTTATAAAACAGACTAAATGGCCTAAAATTCTGCAAAAAATCAATTTTACCTATATTATTAGAAGACTTCAAATGGATTTTATTTTCACACAATTCCCCCAATTTAGTGCCAACCTTGTTTAATACCACAAAATGTGCCAGGACAAACAATGGCACTAAGTCAACCCCAAATTTAGTGCCATTTTTTTTGTCCTGGCACATTTTGTGGCATTAAACAGGGGTTTGCACTAAATTGGGGGTTTCACATCTGGATTATTCATCCTAAAATGTGGATGAAAAACAGTTCCTGAGTTGAATGCACACCCCATTTTTATTGACTCAAAACTTGAAATTTTGTAAACATTAAACCCACCAGAATTTCAGTTTAGTACCATTCTTTGTCCTAGCACATTTTCTGGCATTAAACAAGGGGTTGCACTAAAGGGGGTTGCACATCTGGATTATTCATCCTAAAATGTGGATGAAAAAATTCCTGAGTTTAATGCACGCCCCATTTTTTAATGACCCAAGACTTGAAATTTTCTAAAAAAAACATGAAACCCACCAGAATTTCAATTTAGTACCATTCTTTGTCCTGTACTCCAGGCACATTTTCTGGCATTAAACAAGGGTTTGCACTAAATTGGGGGTTGACTGTAATTCAATGCAACAAATAATACTG